TGGTAAACTGGCAAAACAATCTTGACCATTAAAATTGACTCTACAAATTGATTTGAAAAAAGAAAATGCTTCAAACATCTTTTTCCAAAAACAATTTATTTAACTTCCACAGATAACGGTATTTTGATACTTGTTTGATATTGATACATTACATGACTAAAATAGCTTTCACGGGAAATCCGAATAATTAAAAAGTCAAAATATATACTGGTATCATCAGATCTCATTACATAGAAAAATAAGAAGATCAGAACTTTAGTCAGATTTTTATCATTTAAAACAAAAAGCCACCAACACATTCATTTTTTGTTTGTTTCTGAAGTCAAACTCATCAGTGGAAGAATATTGTTGTAATGATGCTCCTAGAAAATAGACAATGAAGGTCAATAAAAGGTCATGGTCATGTATTATTTATTATAATTCATCACAAATGCTGACGTTTTAGATATTATAATGTTTTCTCTGCAAATGATTATAGCTAGTATGAGAGGTCAGGTATTGCACTCTTGATGTCCAGATGTTTTAACTTCAATCTGAATTTACTTAAAACAAAAACCGGTTAAACCGGGTGATGCTCCCCAAATAGGTTTTGGACACAGAAAAGTATACCTCTTGTAGTTTTAGAGTTATGTCCTGGACAAAGTTCGAAGTGTAATTATCCAAACATAGGCAAGACAGACTTACTACTGTTTCATGTTTAATATTGATATGTCTTATAGTTTCGATGTTATGTACCGGACAGAGTTCAAAGTGTAAACATAAACAAAGGGCAATAACCCAAAAACTAGGGAGGGCAGAGTTACGGTTCTTTTGCACTGCACTTTTACCTTAAGAGATCTATCTACTTACAAAGTTTCTTGTTGATATATTTTATAGTTTGGTTTAGAGTCATGTCTCGGACAATGTTCAAAGTATAAAAATGAACAATGGGCAAAAACTCAAAAATGAGACAAGGCATAGTTACAATACTTTTGCAGTGCACTTGGCTAGTCAATGAGACCTATCTACCTACAAATCTTCTTGTTGGTACCTCTAACCAATTTTCTGAGTTATGTCCCGGAAAAGAAAACGGAAGGGAAAGACAGACGACATCCGGACAAAGCGGCGACTATATGCTCTCCCTATGGAGAGCATAGATATAACCATTTAGGATTGTTGAAATAAATTTAATTATTTAAATTTGATAAAAGAAGCATACATTTATTGTTGTTAAAAATTGCGACTGATTACTTAACATCTACTGAACAAAAAACAAACTAAAGCTGGCATTTTCAGGGCCGTCCAGGCTTGTTGGTTGTCCGGTTTTTGTGCCTAACCAGTACATTACTGTTTATACTTATGTACAATATTCTTGCTTACAGGGATTTTTTGGGCTTATTTTATAGCCGTAATTGGGTCATATTCCCAATTGAAAATGGTATATTATTTTCCCAATTCACAGGAGAGTTCACTTTCCCAATGGGAAGTTACAAAATAAAAATATTAAATATAAAGGTCCTAAAATATTTGCAAATTAGGGCTTATTTACTGTAATAGTGCCTAAATCTTTGAAGATAACATCATAGACAGTAAATTAATTGCATCCATTTTATTACTGCAAAGTTTCAGTCATGCATTTGTTCACAATTCTTAACAACAGACTGCTGAAATTCCCAATTCCATGGGTATTGGCAGTCTTCCCAAAATCCTGAAAAAATCCATGGCTTAGATAAATGTTATAGACAAAGATCTCAAGCAATTGGTATTATTGACTATATTTAACTAGATGCCTTAAAAGCAGCATACATCCAGATTCGTACTAATTTAAATAAAAAAATTAAAATGTATTGAGCAGTAAAATATTTTAAAAGAGAGCAAAGACATTGATTTACACATTGCAAACGGCGCTTATAATCCACGTAATGTACCAATTAGAGGTCAAAACATGCAAAAGTATCCCTAACTGCGTAAGTAACGCAGTTAGAATATAATTATGAATGTTATGAGAACAGTCATTAATTGCAAAAAAGTTATTATAAGTTTTGCTTAAATCTTGAATATTTTAACTTTTCTTGAATAATTAGTACATTTGCCCCAATATTGATTTTACTGAAATACTTTGGCTAAACTGTTTTCGTTGGTAAGTCATTCTGTACAGTGCTTTCTAATATCTATATTTGTGAAACACATTATGCCTCAGAAATTCATATTTTAAATAATAATAATAATAATGATAATAAAAATAATAATAATTATAATAATAATAATAAAAACTTTATTTAAAGAGGCAAGTTAGGCAAGCCAAGTCTTCCTAATAAGCCTTAATTAACATGTACATGCATGCACACATACATCTACAAATGTATATATACAGTAATATAGTCAAGTAATAACTAAATGTATACAAGTTATACAACAAAGAAAAGTATAGTTATTGAAAAATGCATTATGAAAATGAATAATTATAAACATTTGAAAGTATGAAATTGTACATTTTTAAACAAACATGTATATATCATTATGTGATATTAAAACATAGCTAGATTACTTGCTTCCCACCAGAGAACCACCATTTTGGATAATAAGTTTAAAATACTTGTAAGCTGGAACAATAGGGAGGGATATCCAAAATGTTAAGCCTGAATATGATAGGGATTTTCTGCAGAATTCAATTCTTGGTTTGGGGAATAAAAGAAGTTTTAAATGTTCATATGATATTATTGATTTTTGTTTCTGTATTTGTTAAATGTTTTTGTATATAATTAGGGACAGGATTGTTTATGGGTTTGTAAACTAAAATGGACCTTTCTTTATAATTGACTCTATCAGAGGATTTCATCCACTTTAATTCAGAAAATAACTCATCATTCTTAAATAGAAATGTGAAACACATATTTAAGCATTTTAGATGTTTAACAACTAAAGAAAGTAGCACAGAATAATGCAGTAATGTGTCACAAAAGATAGCAAATTAAATATAAACAAAGTAGTATTTTGACTTCCAAAAAAAATACTGATTATCAATATAATTATACCGTTACTGCCAATAGAGCATAATAATTCGGTTAAAAGATAGTTAATCTATACCGTTTATAAGTACGTTTATGAAACTTTAGGAAGATACCAAGAATATTACTACATATCGAACATTCGGAGGACAGCAACGCTCTACAATTAGAAAGGGTTGCCACAAGAGTTTTTTTATTGAATATTCTGATAATGCTTACCTAAAGTATTTGGATATACACAAAGTGGTCCCAAAACGTACAAAGGCCTGTTATAAAGATGTTTTATTTAATTGGTATTAAAAATTACTGCTTGATTATTATGGATGCATACAATTGTCACAATAAAGGCACAAACCTTTCAGTAGTTTATGGAGAATACAGCTTAAACGCAAAAACTAAACCAAGAATTTCTTAGTTAAAAAACGGCTAAATTATGCAAAACAGAGTTATGGTACTTATATCAATCATGTGAAATAAAGTGAAGATGCTTATGAAGTTTTAATCAATTCCTTTTCGTAGTTATGGATATACCAGTTTACACGCAACAATTTCACAAAGTCGAAATGTGGCATAAATATGCAAAAAGCATATAAGAGTTACATAACTTGTGCAATAATGTTATATAATCACAGAGAAGATGCGTGTGAAGTGTCAATCTATTCCCTTCCATAGTTATGGATATACCAGTTTACACGCAACAACTTCAGCAAGTCGAAAATGTGGCATAAATATGCAAAACGCATTCTAGAGTTATAGGACTTGTGCCAATAATGTTATATAATCACGGAGAAGACACGTGTGAAGTGTGTCAGTAACAATAGCGATAGTGAGCTTACACACAAAATCTTAACCAAAAATGTCTAATTAACAAGAGGGCCACCACTCACCTGTATATACAAGCTCTACATTACAAGGAACAAGTACTATAATTGTAAACTATAAACAAAAGCAGATATGAAATCTAAAACTTTAACTGGTATCACAAAGTTCATATTTGTATCTGTATGTGTAAAAACCTTACTGGTTGCTATTGTTATGGCAAAACAACAGTTCCAAAAGATGTGTACATATAAGGAAAGTTAATGACCCCCCCCCCCCAATTTTGACCAAACAATTTTTATTTAATCAAATTTTGTAGAAACTCACAGGAAGGTGCTTCATGCTAATCAGGGATTATTTTTGGCTTGTTTTATAAGTGTTATGGCCCATATTCGGTCATATTTCAATTGAAAATAGAATATTATTTTCCCAATCTACAGAAAATAATTCCCATTTGCAAGTTACAAAATAAAAATATTGAAAAAAAAAAACTTTAAAACTTTGAAAATATAGGCTTCCTCTATGTTTGAAGATACTATCCTAGACAGTGATTGTTTGCATTCATTTAGTCACAGCTCTCAGTAAAGCATTTTCTTCCCAATTACATGGGTATGGGTCAAGAGTTCCAAAAATTCTAGGAAAACCCTGTGCTTAATATCTAAGCTCTAGCTATTTGTTTTCTTAAAGATGTATTATATAAGGAAAATCAATATACAGAAAATCAATGACCCCCAGAGCATTCTAGAGGGCTCAAATAAACATTTAACAGAAAGCACTCTTATTAATCACTCTCATTAATATCAAGTACTTGAAGTAGGGAAATAGCTATAGTACAGCCTTGCATCGGTTTAAGTCTGAAAATATCTGAAAATATACATATTAAAAACTTGCACATGGAAATGCACCAGAAGCCACCATTTGATATGTAGAGTCAATAATATTTGAGGATCCGCAGACCCCTACCCCTCCAGGATATTTACCCCACTCCCTATTAAAATGTGTTTAAAGTGATATAGAATATCTTGATCTACTATATCTCAGTTAATTTTAAAATTTGACACCTATTTAAAGTTTATGATAAGGATAAATAATAGAATTTCCTGGTGCATATTAAGATATTATTTCATCATAAAGTTCAGGCTATGATTGCTGAAGAATAAAATCATACATGAATAAAAAATAACTTACTTTTTATATAAATAAACATCAGTCACACTTCCAGAAGATAATCCAAGCTGTCAAATTATGTGTACACATTTTAAAGATTTATCAAGTTTGTTGTTGTTTTGAACTCAAAACTGTACACTCCTGACCTCATTGTGCCATCACCGGTGACCACAAAATTGTCTGAGTGTTTTATAAATGTTTTAAACTTTTCAAATTCTGTTTCTGGTTTTATATCACAACCTGCCAGCCATACTGTCACTGTTTGTAACAGTTTGTTAATAACAGTAATGAGATCATGCAACACTGAACAAGACATTGTTATATTATATAAGTTAACACGTTCAATATTGATCATTTGAGGTGACAGTGTTAATAATCGTTCACCTAAATTGATTCTCTGTAACGTAACTACTTTCACATGATGTAACAATGGTAATGTTTGTACCATTGTGTCTATGTCACTAGAAAGTTCTAGATAACTACACTCAAGTTTTTGTAGTTTTCTGGCTGCTGGTAGTTGATTGAGATAAGATGACACAAAACCAGGTTTATATAATTTACCTACATCACATTCCTCTAATAACGATACATCCATGTTTAATTGTGACACAGGTATCATGCCAAATCCTAAACATCTTAGTTGTGAATGTTGAGACAGGTCAAGGTTGAATCCCCTACATAAAGTATCATGATCACCACAGTATAACCTGTACAATTTTATTTCTTTCATTGATTTTTTACTAGTGAGAATATTTAACAATGTCTCCATTACCTTGTGGGTCATAGTGAAACCTTGTATATGTAAACACTCCAGGTGTTGTAATTTTACCAGTCGTCCATTTATCTCTGCAGATAGCCGGCAACGTTTTCCTACAAATTTATGATTTTCCCATTTACATGTAGACATAGTTAAACATTTTAAAGGGTTCAATAACAAGCTCATTATTTCCTCTTCTACAATTTCACCTTCATAGTATAATTTCTCTATATGTGGAAGGTCAGAGATTGTAAATAATTTGATAATTTCTTGTAGACCATAAATACCTTCATTTTCTATCATTATTGATTTTATGTTTTCTTTATTTTGTTGACACAGATATTGTAATTGTTTGAAGTAGTTTTCTTGTTTACATTTCTCATTAATGATGAAATCTTGTAAACACAATTGGAGGTCTTTGTTTTCCTTTCTTTCTTTTGCACAATAAATGTACATGTCTTGTATTTCTTGCAATGGCTTAATGTACATGTAATCATATATTGTCAAAGTTCTGTATTTGATTGTTATTTCATCATTGTTTATCACAGGCATTAAATCACTTGATATTGCAGACATTAATTTAGGGTTCATGTTACTGATGAAGACAAACACTTTTGACATGTCAAGAATATTTTGTAAACACTGGCACTCTTCATAAAAGATTCTCTGGACTTCACTTGTGTTTTGAAAACTTACAAATATTGCTGAAAAGTATTCTTGCACTGTTTTATGTGAAAAGGAGATTCTAAAACTTTCATTTATTAATGTTTTCACTTTACTTTCTGATAATATTCCTGATAGACAGCATGATTTCAAATCTTCTTGGTTAAGATATTTTTCAGCAATATTTTCATCAAAAACTAATGTGTGCTCCTTTGTCTTACTGAACAATGTATAAAAAGCTAGTTTTCCAATGGTCAACAGAAACGTGTAGTAACTACAGAAATGTTTATGTTTTCTGAAACATTCAGGGACATAACTCGGAGGTGTTTTACACGATGAATGAAACATTCCATGTAATTTTTCTGTTCTAAATAGAAGGAGCTGAATAATGCCTGTATATAATTCGACTGCTGAATTTCCTATTGGAATTTTTTGAACCCATAAACATATAAGATAAAGTAAAATGAGAGGGGTTGAATCCATATCCTCAAGGTCATGGTCACTGACTGCTTCTTCAAATCTGCACACTTCATTTTTCAGTTCACTATCTTTTAAGTTCTTATTCAACGTTTTTATTGCGTTACACTTAAACTGCCTGGCACTGACTTTATTTAGTTTGACTAGCTCTACTGTTTCGCCTATTTGATTCAAGTTTAACATTCCAAGCTTCCATGGCCGAGTAGTTGTTAAGATTACACACTTTTCACGTGCATAACGATGTGGAATACTTTTAGGAAATCTTGAACAATTGTTGTCAGGATGAGTCCATTCATCTAGTCCATCTAATATAACAAGGCATTTTTTATAATGTAGAATGTCCTTTAAAAAACCCTTTGGCACTGAAGATGAGCAAGGGAGATTTTGTATGAGTTGTTCCTCAATCATGTCGTCAACATTACAAACTTTAACTGAATCTCTCAATAGCACTAGAAATAAAAAATCAAAGCCAGATAATGCCTTCAACTCCTTTTCTTTAAAATGCTTATAATTTTCATCCTTTTGATGAGCTTGACACCATGCCAATGCGAGATATTTTGAAAATGCTGTTTTCCCAAATCCAGCGACCGCTGATAAGTATATTTCCTGTGAAATCTTTCTACCTAATATAAACAGGTCCTGTAATGACTCGACTCTAGTTGTTTCTCTCCCTCCACCAGCCTTATAAGTCTGTATGTCAATTTCTGGCATAATGTAGAATCCGGCTAGAGGGGTAGGGACAGCATCTGTGAGTGGTGAAAGAGGAACTGTACTCTGATTGGTTTTGTACCATGTAATAAGTTCATCCTTCAGTTCTGAAATAGAAAAAAGGTCTCAACTTATTCATTAAGATAGAGTCATGACGCTCATATAGAACGAATAATTCATGCCTTTTATGGGAAAAAGTTTTACGATTACCGTTTGCATTTTCCAGTAACGCCGCGGAAGCAGTCAGACAGGCAAACAAATCAAATGGGCAATCCGTGATAAAAGAAAATTTTCAGCTGATACTTACAACTACCCGGGCTTAACAATGTTTTCACTGCCCGATTCAATTTTTTATCAATCATAATCAACAACAAAAACTACTATAAGGTCATCCCATCTCTCCTACACGTAAGACAAAGGCAAAAAACAAAATCGGCAGGCGAATCGTGAGAAGAACTAAGTAGTCATCCTAACAAAAGTTTTGTCAAATATTTATGTGATGGATTAGAAGAAGGTTTTGACTTATCCGCGCGACAGCAAAATCTGCAAAAACAGTCTGATGAAGTGGATAACTTTAAAGTCAAATCAAGGTAACAATATTTTACAAGCCCTTTTGAAACTCCCCAATAGACCATTATAGAGTTTCATCAATTTCCATAGCATAAAGAACATTCTGTCAAGAAAAAAATAATCGTAAATTTATCATCACCTCATAATGATTAAAGTCATTTGAGTAAAAATGAATTTATAGAAAAAGATCAGTAGAGTCTTTCATATGTTAACATGGACGATGCAGTATCATCTTTACAAACATGAAACGGTTGAAACGGGTGATGCTCTCCGAATAGGTTTTGGACACAGAAAAGTATACCTCTTGAAGTTTCAGAGTTATTTCCCGGACAAAAGTCAAAGTGCAATACTTCCAAACTTAGGCAAGACCGATTGACTGTTCTTTACACTGTTCATACACCAAATGATATATATCAACCTACAAAGTGTTTTATTCATATCTATTATAGTGTCCGGGTAATGTCCCGGGCAATGGTCAAAAAGCAAATATGAACACTGGATAATAACTGCACAAGTAAGCATAGCAGAGTTATGCTTTTTCATTGCAGTTTTAACATTTGAGATATATCAAGCTAAAATGTTTCTTGTTTATATCTCATATTTTATCAGAGTTATGTCCCGGACAAAGTTCAAAGTGTAAAAATAAACAAAGGGCAATAACTACAAATTAGGCAACTCAAGGATTTTGTTCTTTGCATTGCTCTTGTACCTAATAAAATTTATCTATCTACAGAGCTATGTCTCGGACATGAAAAACGGATGGCCTGACGGGCAACCGGACGGACGGACAGACGGACACAGTGACGAATTTATGCTATCCCTTGGGGAGCAAAATAAAACGTGTATACACTAAAAAAATTTCGATAACCTATCGATTGCTATTTGTTGGATTGCAACAATAATATCACTTTTGAACACCGTTGGACATACAACATGTCTTGAGAATTTAGGCTTCATTCTTGATCCTCAAAAGTGGAAGCAAGACTGCCAAAGGGAAATAGAGAGAATCATTGAGTTAATACGTACACTACTCAATAAAAGATAATGTACAAAAACAAATCTTTTCATGCTCTTTGGTCATTTTCGATTTGCATCAAGGATAAGAATTTCTGGTCGAAGATTTGTGTCATATTTGACAAATCTTTCCACCACAGTAATATAATTGTTAAACAATAATTGTAACGATGATCTTTTAATATTGTTACACTTCCTTTAAAACGAGCCATTGGTGTCTCAATGTTCCATGAATACAAAGTGACCTCTACAGAAAACATGACGCTAGTTCTACCCTCGTTTTTTTAGCATTTTAAGAACAGATACTTTTGTAGCACATGGACCATAAATTCCATAAATTTTTCCAGAACATTATCCTTTTGTAGCTGCTGCTCTGGCATAGGGCCTTTCTTGGAAATGTAAAAAACTATTTTTTTCTTTGTGACAATGAAGGGGCAGTTAATATTGCATATAAAAGGCGCCAAAAATGCTTGCATTTTATGAAATAATGAGAAACTTGACATGGATAGCCGCTGTTAATAACTTTTCTTTAAAGTCACGCATATTGCTGGGAGACAAAATGTTTTCGCTGACTCTCTTTCTCGGTTTCAGATGGATCGCTTTCGAGCAGCAGCAACACCAGAAAATCAAGAGCCAGAGATATGCCCAGCAAATACACACGTAATTGAGTTTAACCTAAATACCTTAGTGGAGCAAATGTGGGACTTTGCATTGAGCAAAAAAGCATGTACACTTATGGTATGGACAGTTGTAAAAACAATCAGTGACATATAAGTGTGTCAGCTTACCAGTGACAAATGATTTATTAATATATTTAAATTTAAGAAATATTGTCACCATTTTCTAAACCTAAAGTATAAAACCATTAATTTGTATTTGTGTGGCAAACGCTTCAAATATAAACTAGAACTGTATCCAAATGACACGGATGCCCCCACTGACAACAAATATATGGTATATAGTGAGAAAATCAATAAAAGGCCATAACTCTGTTAAATTTGGTCGCAGGAAAAATTCCTTCCGTTACTTACAACTACACACTAAGGTTGTTCATCCCTAGAAGTTTAAGCAAAATCTGTCATCCAGTTTAAGAGGAGTTGCGTTTACAAAATTTCTATACGGTATATAGTGAATAAAAACAACAAAGGCCGATAATTGGGTTAATTTTGGTCGCAGCAAAAAATCCTTTCTTTACTACCATTGACACATTAAGGTTTTTTCATCCCTGGAAGTTTAAGCAACATCTGTCATCCGGTTTGAAGCGAGTTACGTTCATAAAATTTCTACATAGTATATAGTGAACAAAATCAAAGAAAGGTCATAATTCTGTTAAATTTGGTCGCAGCAAAAATTCATTCCTTAACTTACATCTACACATTAAGGTTCTTCATCCCTGGAAGTTTAAGCAAAATCTGTCATCCGGTTTAAGAGGAGTTGCCTTCACAAGATTTCGGGACGTACGGACAGACGTACGTACGGACGGACGTTCCAACTTTTTGGCTTAAGGGCTATTTTCTTTGTTATTTTCTTTGTTTCCTTAAGGGCTACTAGTCCCTAGACCCTTTGATCACGGAAAGAACCTATTGTACTCTTTTGTTCTGTTTACTGTTGTATAGCCCCTAAACCCAAAATGTTTGCTCGGACAGACGTACGGACGGACGGACAAGTGCAACGCTATATGCTCCCACTTTGTGGGGCATAACAATGACAGAATTAACAAGCACTTATGTATATACTTCTTTAAATTCTGTTAGGATATTGTAAAGCAGCGATCAGCGCAAAAGACTACCTATTGATATTGCCTTCTTAGTAAAGATAAAAATTAAATGTTAAAGAAGCGAAATTCAATGTTTTTGTACTTATTATGTCGCCTCTACGGAGTAGTGGCGATATATAGGGATCACTTCTCCGTCGTCTGTCTGTCCGTCTGTCTGTGTCCGTCTGTCCGTCACAAAACTCCTTTGGCAGAGTTAATAATTTTTAATTTTAAAGTTTGCCCGGACTATTTCTCTTATACAACTTATGCAATTTCAATGAAACTTTACAGGATTGATCTGTAGCTCAAGTCCTTACGCATATTGCAAGGGTTTTCCGGTTAAATGATTTTTGGCCGAGTTATGGCCCTTTGATAAAAAGTTTTTTTTTTCTGTGTGTTGCCAGATACACCAACGCTTGTCCGGACTACTCCTCATAAACTACTAGTGCAATTTCATCCAAACTTTACAGGAATGATCAGTACCAAGTGTAGTTGTGCATATTATCAGCTTTTTCCGGTTCAATGATTTTTGTCAGAGTTATGGCCCTTTAATAAGTTTTATTTTTAAAATTTGTCTGGACTACTTCTCTTATACCACTAAAGCAATTTCAATGAAACTTTACAGGATTGATTTGTAGCTCAAGTCCTTGTGCATATTGCACGGGCTTTCTGATTGAATGATTTTTGGCTGAGTTATGGCCCTTTGATCAAACGGTGTTTTTTCTGTGTGTTGCCAGATACGCAAAAGCTTGTCCGGACTACTCCTCATAAACTACTGGTGCAATTTTATCCAAACTTTACAGGAATGATCAGTACCAAGTCTAGTTGTGCACTGTCCGTCTGTCTGTCCGTCTGTCACAAACTTTGTCCCAACATGAAATTGGCCACCATGAGGCGACACATGTGATTACTGATCGCTCTTGTGTTAATGTATTAATGACATGTTGTTGTATAGTTGTTTTTGTTTTGAGATTTTACGTGCTGGCGAATGCACCATAATGAACAAATTGTTGATAGTCTCAACACTCTACAACTAGATGACATTAAACTCAGGGAAGATCATTTATTGTTAATCTTAATCATTCAAAATTGACATTTTGATACAGGGTATTGAAATTACAATTTACACTACAAACAATTTTGTATGTCCAATTTATGCCGTCACAAAAAATAATTTATAACAAAGGAAATTATCTAGATCTAACGTATTTTTGTGAAAAAACGAGGTCATTCTTTGTCGGGAACAAAATTTATAAAAAAAATAAAATCAGTTCTATAGATTTTTGGTTTGGACGATTGTAATGCAATTGTCACATTTTTCGAATAGGTGCAGCTACAACATATGCAAGATAGAGAAAAGAAGACCATCTGATAAAAATCCTAGGCCGTTGATCTTTTGACTGTTATACAACATTTATTCTCACTGGTTTATAAGAATATTATACAAAAATGCACAAAAACTTGTTTGTGTCTAATTTCCTGTGTTAGCTATATTTGTCATATAACCATTCATTTGATCTGATGTTTGTTAGCCACTTATGATCAAAATAAAGATTTATATGTCTTGTTCCGTGGTTTTAATTTGATTGAGTATAAAACATCAGATATTTAGATATTTTATATCGAGAAATATTTTACTATCTTTACAGGATGTGATTACATAACAGTTTTCTTTGGAAAATATTTCCTTTTTGTCATGATCAATGTATCGATTAAAATAAAAAAAAAATAAAGCTTATGAAACTCGACCCTATTTTCAAAAATGAC